GAAGAAAATTCTACCTAAACCGGTGTCATCCACGAGCATAGCATGCCAAAGCACGTACCCGCCGTAGTTTAGCTGGTACGGGCGTTCGATAACAAAACATCATTAAACCTGGCGACGCAGTGCATCATATTCATGGAAACAAAATAAATGTGACGAACGACCCTATCGTTCAGCCCTATCCCAACCTCTCCCTAATTCTCCAGCGTATTCCTAACTTTCACCGAATCGCCATGTGAGTCCGACGAAGACCTTCTTTGACGTATGAATCTAATATCTGCCGTAGTTAAGGGTCTCTGGGACCTGTGTGTGGCGAAATCCCTTGGTTTGGGAGTACTTCTAAAATCGTCCATCAAAGTATACACTTCCTCTTCCTGTTCTCCAGATAGACGACGATTACTTATATAAAGACCCCGCTGACCCACAAAGTAGTCATGGTTGTGCAGCAGACAACGTTCCATCACTCTTTACTCCCTCCCAACCGCGCGAATTACAACAAATGCCGGACNATGCCGGACAATCGACATTTTGCAGCCTAAAATGAGTTAAATACATTAGAAACGAGAGACATAATTACCTGGTTGTAGTTTCGCCGCTCCTTCTGTGATGTACACAGCAGTATTTGATGAAATAGTACGGAAAACCCTCAGGCAGAGTCAGTTTTCTACCAAACCTTCTTTCCGGTGTCAATTGTTCGGCTGCCATTGACGCATAAACGTAGGAGGAAGTGCAAGTAACCCTTTGGAATTCACGGAAGTCATCCGAGAATCCGTCCGGAGATCCATAGCAAATTTTTACTATTCGTTCGAAAACGACCGTATCGTCAACATGAGCCATGATTGATATGAGCGTAGAAGTGATCGTCGCCATTGAGTTACGGTATTTATACTTTTCTGACAAGATTAATTAGGGTTAATTAAAAAGAAATCACTCAGAATCAGCCAGAAGCAAAATCTGTTCCAGTTCGCCTGAATTCAACATCGCTTCTTTTAATAATAATAGGTGTATATTTCACGAAGCCTGTGAGACATGCACAAGGCATTATTAAATGTTCAGAGCGAGTACACGTACAATAACGGTGTAAATACATAGGAAGACAATAAGATTGGTGGGGATCAGAACGAAAACACGGTGTGAAAGGAACACAAACCGGACAAGGTCACCGATGAATTTATGAAAATGGAGGATGCATTGAAAATGCATGTCACTAGAACTGAAAGTAATAGTAAAGCTGGTTTTAATTGTCTAAACAGTCCCAAAAAGCACATTTTCAAATAGAACAAGGAGT